CCCCAAAACCCCAAAACCCCAATAAATAGAATATGGAATTCAGTATTTTTTTAATAAGAATGAGTCTAGACTTAAATTATTTATTTTCTCAATATTAAAGCAATAGTTAATTTGATATAATGGACTAATCCCAACCAGAAGCCGCATTGGACTAATAAAATCGAAAATCGATGTAACACTAAAAAGGATCGTATTCTTTTCACTCAGCTTTCGCATCTGATATAGACAGCATCAATAACGACCTGAAGGATATATTCCCTAATGACATGACAAACAAACTAAGGCAGTCAAATTAATCTAAAATGAATTTCATAACAATGTCTTAACAATTATAAAGCCTTGATGAGGATGTTGAAAGAGAAAATGATCTCTCTTTAAGTAATATTAAGAATACTTAATTAGACAGATGAGGAAGAGTCATAATTTAAGATGATAATTAGTCTGACATTAATGATAGGGAATATGATGTCTTGGGCAGGAAGAGTCATGCCACTGATATAATTTCAAACGCAAAACATATACATGGTTAGAATTCTTAATAAGCTTGATCATAAAGTTAGAATAATACTTTAAAGAGACCAGTAGATGATTTAGAACTTGAGAATCAATTACTTCAATAATATGTCTAAACCACCCTGGAGGAACTGCAGTTAGAGACCTAGGAAAATTAAGATTTCGTCCAGCATAAAATATTTAATCACGGCAGAAACCCTTCGCAGATGGAAATGAGGGACCTGATAGAATTAGCTCATTAAAATTCTACATACCTAGATAACAATCCAATATTTGACTTTAATTACCTTCAAGAAAACAGCTCAAATGATACCAAGGAAAATATCAAGGAGGGCAATATGAATCGGTATATGGAATTTCTTGAAGCTCAAAAGACAAATAAACTTGCTCAGAAAAATAATAATCAATTATCCTTAAATCTTCATTAGAGAGGCCCATCAAATTTAACCTCCTCATCTAATGATAAGTCTTCTGATCTAGACAAAATCAGAGATTCTCATAGGGGTTTAAAAAAGAAACATTTTTAAACAATTAAGATCGCTTCTTTTGATGAATAGCTGAAACCTTCACTTAGAATGAATTAATCTGAAATTCAATAGCCTGCTCTGAGTAGCGCTAGGAAATCTAGCAGAGCTGATAAGTTTAGGAATAGTTGATTCGGGACTATGCATATTATAACAAAGAAGGATGTCATCGACGAGGAAGAAGATGAAGCCTATGGAGAAATAATTGAAAATGTTAATAAAAAGCAGTTACAGCCAGTAATGAGTCCATTAAGAGCAAAGCTTAAGTCATTTAGTCAGGAAGAGATAGTAGTGAAGGATAGAAGGGATGAGCTAAATGAATTGAGGAGCAAATTAAGTGGTTAGAAAACAGACAAAGAACTACTCTCTCCAACTAAGTTAAGTAACAGAGGAAGCAGTCCACTCAAAAGTATTCATAATGGGATTGATGATTCCAATACAATGACTAAAAAGGCTTTCAGCTATCAACTGATTTCAACATAACCTAAAAGCAACGATATAGAGAACTAAGACAGGCAGAATTCTAGTAGAAATGCAGGGAATGCAGTTAAAATATCCAGCAAAGCCTAACTACTTGAGAAAAGAAGATTAGCTGGAGGATCTACTTTCACTCAATCCAAGTAATCAAATAAGGTTGGATTACCTCCTCAATATCCGGCTGGCAGAGAAAACATGTTCAATAATACAATCAATGAAACAAAACTTCCATCAATAAAGTAATCACTAAACCTTAGTGATAAGAATTCTTAAGGTAGTCTACCTTCATTTAGATGAACTGAACTCTCAAAAAAATCTAATAGTGATGCATAAAATGTCGTTATCTCAATGAAAGATCAGTCTTTACATGAAGATGATAACTTTGAAAAAAAATCATTAGGTGCTGTTTTAAGGTAATATGCTCGTCAGAAGGACGCTGAAGAATAAGCAAAAAGAGATGCAGAAGAGAGGGATAGATAAGAAAAGGAGAGATTGCTCTAAAATGATAAGCTAAAGTCGAAAGAATTCACTAGCAAATACAAAATTAACAAATTTAAGCAAATGAGAGAAAACACTAGAGGTAAAAAAGGAGATAGTATGTATCCTCATACAAGAAGTGCAAGTAAAAATTTAAAACTGAAATCACTATCTCCTAATAAAGCGATCGCTCTGAGCAGTAGACTTACAGCATCTTTAACATTAGATGATATTAAGGAGGGTCTATGAGATGTAGAAAATATGTTGCACACTATTGAAAACAAGCCTTTTGAAAAGATTGCAGAGTTAGAGAAAGAAAAACTGAGAATTGTTCAAGAAGCTCAGGAGTATTAAATTAAAGGAACTAGAGCAGTCGCTCCTATAATAGATGATAAAGATTTGTCCCCTGCATCAAGGAGAAGAAATAAGTTTAGAGCATTACTGAATAAATATAGCGATGATCCAACCAATACTGATGAGGCAGGAAGGCATCCCATACAGACAGAAAAACTTAAATAAACAACATATATGAGGCTAAGAGAGCTAGATAGATTACATGTTAGAAACGATGATGAAGCGCTTGAGGATGAAAGGACATTTAATGCACTACTTAGAAAGAAAATGAAAATAGTAAACGAGTATCTCAGCAAGGTTGTTGATAATCAGATTAAGAGTAAAACAATTTGTTAAATTAAACTTTAGAACAAGGATTTAGAGAGGAATATGACAGGAAGTATGGAATCAAGAGACTCACAGAGGAGAAATAAAAACAAAAGGATAGATTGCTATTTGATAAGACATTAGATAACGCACTCAAGCAATAATAAATGTTAAAGTAAGATAAAGTCTTAATTTATTAAGATTAGGAGAGAGTATAATGAGACTATGGATTTATGCACTAGAGTAGCGTAGACTAACTATATTGATCATTTGGAAAAGAAAATTAGAGATATGAATGATGATATTTAATTCGAAACAGTGCAAAAGAATAATCTGTCAATCAAGTAAAAGATGTATTACAAAGTAATAAACATCATCTAATTCAATGTTAGATAGATTTTTCCAAAAGAGAGATTGAATAGGAAAAGAAAATACTCAACCTTGAAAGCGAACTGGAACGTAACGCTGAGAAAATCAATTAAATTCTTGAAAGAAGAGAATACTTACAAAAGGAAATAACTCTTGCAGAGCCTAAAGTAGAGGAACTTAAGAAGCGAAAAGATACTCTTCGGGAGATTCTAGATGATGAGATAGGAAAAAATGAAAACATCCTTATAGCTTAGCGGTTACCTATGTTTGAGCAAATGGGAAAGAATAAAGAAATATATGGCTAGGTTATAGAAAAGCTGAAAAAAGATATTAAGGCTAAAAAAGAAGAGATTGATGTGTTTAAGAAGTTGAGTCAGGTAAAGGTTCACTAACTTGACACAATTGGAATAAAAGTCATAAAAGTTATCAAGTTGTTGAAGCAGGAAAAAGACTAAAAACATAAAAAAGTGAATGAGTAAAAAATCATTGTAGATTATCTAGAGAAAGCAATGGAACTCGAAAAGTAAGCTGAAATCGAGCATATGGAATAAGATATTAAGAATAAATTTTAAAATTAGCTAATGAGCATGCTTTTTGGAAAACTAAACAATAATGAACTTCAAAATACAGAAGTAAATGAATCAAGCTAGCCCAATCAAAGTTAATTAGGAGAAGAATAAATGATCTAATATGGAGAGCCAGAAGTTTAGCTTGATATGTTATAAATCAGCAATAATAATACTTCAAGTATAGCTGAAGGAGAGAGTAATACTGCCAATTTCCTTGATGGAATGAGTACAGCAAATGCTTAATCAGCTACACATCAATTCAAATATTTTGATTAACTCATATTTCCTGAAGGTGATAAAGACATCAACGATCTTTTAGAGGTAAGTTTAATCAAATGACTTATAAATATTAGAAGCATAGAAATCCCCTATTATATATGATTGCTAATAAAAATTCTCCATAAAATCAAGGAATAAGTGTAAGATTATTATTTTAATTTATCTAATCTAGCTCTACAACATGCATAAGTTTCAAGGACCGAAAGCAAATAATTTGATTGATGATAGAGAAGCCGCTGAAGAATAGTTGTAAAAAGCAATGGAGGAATAAAAAAAACAACAAGTAATAATGTAATAGGAGTAACAAAGATTGAAGCTAGAGCAGGAAAAACTGTAAAAATCAAAAGTTGAAAGTACAGCCACACCTTTCTCTATAAGGAGCCTATTTAAGAAATTAGGCAATACACCTTCAATTAAGATTGCAGAGCCAATTATTTCTCAAAGCTAGTCTTAAATAAATTTAACTAAGGGCAGTAATATAATACCTAATACTCCAGGGATATCTAAGCAGAAGCATCTTTAAACTCCAAAGTCAATTAGTTTCTAAAAGGATAGCTTTGCCAAGAGCACAAAAAGATGAAGGTTGTTATTTCAACCAGGTATGTATATTTTGATTATAGGAATTATAGAATTATTAAAACTATGAGTCAATTAGTAACTTAATTTCATGATTAAGCTTATATCTCTTCTAATTGTTTACGTGGGGTTTTGGGGTTTTGGGGTTTTGGGGTTTTGGGG